CCCCGCCCGGCGGGGAGATGGGCGGCTGCTGAGCGTGCAGCCGAGCCGCCCCGGCCCGGGTGGGCCAAACCGACCTGGGATCGCGGGCCGACCGGGTCCAGAGCGGGGTCACAGCCTCCGGGGCCTGATCCACCCGACGGGGGATTACGCTGCACCTGTCTGTCGGCCACGGGGCATCCAGGGAGGCTGTGGACTTAGTACGGGAGAGCTGCGAATCGTGGCCCTGGGGCTGCCACTGGCCACGCAGCCCTGCGTAAACCTAATGGACTTACCTGGTCCGCTAAAAATAATTGAGATCTGGTGCATGCACAGAGCTCACGTTATTACCCGTTGCAGAGAGGTCACTACACAGCGGCAGCACAACATAAGTGTAATACATGGTAGCAGGGTGAAGTTGTAAGACAAAGTACTCAAGAGTTGGGAAATGGATGAATTTTATCAGTAGAGCTCCTATGTGATTTATGAGCCAGTCTGTAATTACGCTTCCCAGGTTTTCTTTGGAGGACCTCTGCCACATCCACTGCAAAGAAGCAGCCAAACTTAATCAGCACCAGGGAAGGTTGTGCCTCCATCGGAGACTTCTGCTGTCATGTTGAGTTTGTCTCCTTCCATTTTTCTAGTAACATTTGAACCCGGTTTTTGTTTTCAGGCAGGTCTGACAGTAGGAGAGTTGTTTCAGAGCTATCTATGTTCTATGTCTTTCACAAAAGCAGAGTGGAGACCAGGTAGTTCATGGATGGCCTTTCCATGTGAATATATCTGTGATGCGAAAGGCTGCTTATCCCATCCCAGACATCAAAGAAATCACATGGACAAGAAGCCTTATAAAATTCCTCACTGGGGGAAAATCATCAATAGAAACCTATATTCTTAAACCCCAAAGCTAAACAGCCATGAGCCAGATATTTTTAAGGACAAGAGGCCTCATTAATTACCTTAATCAAAGCACTACTTTACTGTATAAAACTTGTTAACTTTTTTAGACTGTGCACAGCATTATGCACATAGGAATTTATGAGGGAAAGTTTAAGGTGCCATATAGTCTTTATTAACTCCTTTCATTGCTGGCTGCTCTGTCCCTTTATAACCTTTTCTCATCCCCTGGTTGAGACCCTATAAAAATACAAAATGAGCTTCCTAGTTTTATAATCCCATTTTACTAATTGGGGTTGGAAGCACTAGCAGAATAGGGCCCCAGTTGTAAAAAGATCCATGTCTTTTAGGCTTGAATTGCTACATGAGCAGCATTTGTGAAAGCTTCCTCTCCCCGAGCAAAGCTCTCATTGATTTTAGTTGTGCTTATGAGTACCTAGCACCCACTGCCTTTAGGCTGTGTGTCTGGCTGGATGGCAGGTCACATGCAGAAGCATGACAGTCTAATCCGCTGATCATGCAGAAGCTTGACCAGAGTGCACCATGAAAAGGGCTAAAAGCCTCTCAGTGGAAAGCTAGGTACAAAAAGGGGATGGTGCACACTCACACCTCTCCTCCCAGACAGAGCTGGCGTGCATCCGAGGCCTGGAGCAAGGAGCTGAGAAATGCTTAGACACAATCTTAGGAGCCAGAAAAGAGAATAACTTCAGTGATTGGTTCATATCTCCCCTTCCACTCCTAGCAGTGCTGTCTGAAAACAAAACCACTGCTGCCCACCTTGTCTGCTTCTCAATATCTGTGTGCCAAAGTCACTGTCCCTTAGCTCTGAAGGCCTGAAATTCCCTGTGAGCACTCCCTCTTCTGTCAGAGGGACCTCAAAGGCAAGAATCCATGATGTTACTCAGCTAACTGAGTCCATTTGGAGTGAAGTATTGTGCACACTTTGGTCTTCTGCATTAATTAATTAATTAGGTGAACTGGTCTGTGAAACTCCCAAAAACTAGTATCTGTTTCATTTAGATGATCCTGAATGATGTGTAAGGAATGACAGCCTGTTTCTGCAGAAAGGATCCTAGTTTAAACCAGTAAACGTCACAACCAGCCTCTGAGGCCTATAAAGGTAGGCACTGTTCAAACAAACAAGGAGTTTCAGCCCTTAGTGAATGACAATCTACGTGTCAAATAGACACGGATTGTGCTGGAAAACTTAGGCATGAGGCGATTAAGTGACATTCAGTGTCATGCAGCTTAGCCACACTTCTCCTTTCCCTTTATTTCACTCCTTCATGTTCTTCTTTCTCCATCTCAACATGCCTTGGCTTTTGCCCCTCTTCTTCCCAAACGTTTATGGCTTTGCTTTTCTCTAGGAAGCCTTCCAGAGGGGATTCCAAAGTTCCTGAGTGAATTTGGGTATATGCTCCCTCTTCCCCCAAAAATAATTGAAATAATTAAAGGCAAGTGTTAGGTATTGACAATATCTAGATATATATTAAAAGATAAATTGTGATCATCTCCAGCTGTACCTGGTATGAGGTTAAGTTGTGCTTAATGTCATGAGACAGCATCTATACTACACTATCTTTTTAACAGATTGCGATTAGGTTGGTTTCAGACTCTCTCCGTGCCTTTCAAGATAGTTTTTAACTTCATTAGAAATACTGTGGGTGTAAGTCTGAAAACTATTTTTAAATCACTATGTGAGAAATGTGAAAGCAGTGTGAACAGACACACTTTCAGAGCATCTTCAACATTAAATCACACTAGACAATTGCTTATAGAATGTCTTATTCTTCATTGTTATATAATGGACCAGAAGCATACATAAGTAGAATGGACCTCTTTTACTTCAGAACTGATAAACACAGACTTTTACGTTCCTGGAAGCTTCTAATGACAAAAAGAAAAAAAGATGCTCTTGTGATTAAGGCACCAAATTAAGACTATAATTTATTTAATAAATTAGTTCCTGTATTGTGAAAGTCCTTACTGCATCCAAATAAAGTCAGGATCCTGCTGCTCTGGACACTGTGGACCCCCCTACAAAAGGAGGTCCTCCTGCTGTTGGGCAGAGCTCAGGCATGGAGGGCTTGTGGGACCTAAGGCACATGTTCCCTCTTTTAATCTACTGTCTTTTCTTTACAATTGAGCTTTTAATACTATTCTACCCATGAGGACGTCTTTTGATGGCTAATTATATGCAAATAACAAGTGACGCACAAAAAGATCAGCAGATACATAAATGATAACTTAAGAAAATAAACAAGCACATTTAACTAGCAGAAGAGAGACCACCACTGTAAGAATTAAAGAACTTACCTGTCTGGGGAACTGCTTTTTGACCTCTCTAGCTGCTTAACTGAGCACAGCCTGGAGCAAATATGAGGAACTCCTCCCCTTTTGGTGTTTATTACAGAGAAACAATACTTCCTGTGACACCTGAGTAAATATCCTCTAGGAAAACCACCACATAGTTTATCTACGGCTAGCTTATTACTCCTTTGATCATAAATACCATCCACCATAATGAATTACCAAGCATGCCCAAAAGCATGTGTTATTTATTGAATGCATAGATTTCTCTGAAGCAACCCCAAGCTTTGCCAGATATTTTCTTCAGTTGATCAAAAGAGCTCCGTAACCCCTTTTGAAGGTCTTAGATGTGTGATCCTTGTAATCACATTTAAAGGGCTGGTTAGCTCAGGAGATTGTTAATAGGATACAAAACCTTTCACATCCAACCCAGATCAGTGCAGATGAAAAGTTATGACTATTTAACAGCTCTTTCATGTCCTGTGACCTAACCCAGTTCCTAAAGGAGAAATGTTTGTATTACTTTAAATTTACAGAATGTGGTTTTCAGGCTTTTTTAACTGCACGTGTAATACAGAACATTTGTCAAACAGGAAAAAAGCTCCGTGGTAATTAATGAATCCATTAAAACTGCAATCAAAAGAATTTTCAAAATTCCCACTCCAAAACTATCTCCACAGTCTCAACAAACCCATAAGCACAGGTGAGGGTTATAGTAATCAAAAAGCAGGAATTGCTGGAAAGTAGAAGTGATTTAGTGATTTAGAACTGACAGTTCTTCACTAAAATTTCATTGTATCAGCCCATGTCATTAGACCCAGGAGCTGCACATCTAGCACAGAAGTATTGCCTTTGAATGGTGATAGCCTAACTCACACTTATTGATTCACATCCAGTAGGGAAATAAAAAAATACAAGCAAACATATGCAAGGCATTGTGTTGAAATTTCACAGCTACTTCTACTTCACAGGCTTTGAGGTAGCAAAGTTTTAGGGTTTTGCAGGTATTGTTTTCCATCTAAGAAAGTTCTAAGTCAGACCCAATTCGAACTCATGTCTCAAACTCAATTTTTAAAAAATGCCTTTTTTTAAAAATAAAATATCAGGAAAAGAGGTATCAGGAACTTTGGAATATAAAACCTCCACAGTTGTTCTAAAAAATCACAGGAGAGAAGGTCAGGGGCCAAATGATAACTGCAGAGAAGATTTATGCTACAAAATGGCTTCTACTGTCAGCAGTTACTTAGAGAGTACAGTTATCCCTTCCTTGGAACGCACTGATCACCAAAATAACCTTAAAGGATTTTGCTTACATACAGTGATGTGAGCTAGTAAGAAGGTGACAGGATATCTGAGGATTGCCGCTTTCTATATACCTGGGTGTAACGTGAAGTGCTAATCTTGAAAACGTGCAGGTAAAGATTTGGGGTTGTAGTACTGCCATTTCCAAGTGTGCACGACAGATCCCTCAGAGTCATGAAGCTGGCTTGAAAATTGTGGGATTAAAAAACTAAACTAAGCAATAAACACCAGTCATGTGGTAATATTGGTCATGTGGGTCATGTTGTTAATACAGCAGTTCCCCTACTAACTGCTTAGAGATTTCAGGTTTGGCACTTCATATTTTTTTGAAAAATATTTTTGAATCAGTTGTACAGAGGGTCTCATTTATATCCTGGAGTAGCAGCACCTAAGTTACGCACAATCCAAGTGAACAAAAATACATAATATATAAACTGTGTATTTCTTTACAGCTGTATTTCTCCATAACCCCTGAAGGTTTAGGTAATCAGCACTCTGGCATTAAGAAAAATACCTATTAAACAAATATCACCATTAACATTACTAAACACAAATGTACTTTGTTATATAAATAGGACTGTGAACTAATGAAGTATAAGCAGCATCAATGTATTGATAATTCAAGCAGTTAAATCGCTGTTTGGTATATACTTCTAGTTATCATCTGTGCTGTTCTGGTGTGTACTTACAGGAGAGTGGAAAAGACCTTTAACTAAAAAAAAAAAAAAACCAGCAGAATCTTTCTGTAAGATTATTTATACTTTTTTTCCACCCTGAATTAAAATGAGACCTAAAACCCAGAAGCTATTCAGTGTAGAGGCTCCTACGTAATACATACCTGTATAGCATCCAGTCTCTGAGTTCATTGCATTCCATGTGCTGCCATTTAACCATGTTTATTAATGGGGCAAATAGAGGTCTTGTCATATCAGGTGATAAAAGAAGGCACAGTGCTGAGCAAGTGTGTCTTTTCTTCTGCCTCTGAAGGGATCACAGTGCACAAATGGAAGTGTCAGCCAGGAATGATAGATGGCATTTTGTGTAAGTGAAAAGGAGGGGGAATCAGTTTTGTTCAGTAGCCAGAGCACATACATTTCTGTGCAGAAAGTGGCACCTGGGATCTGCCTGACCAGTAGGTCTCCAAATCACTTGCTCACTTTTCTTCTACCTGACATGATTTTTTCAATCAGCCTTGGCTAGTGACAGAAGATTCTCCATGTTCACAGTTCCCACAAACATCCATCACAATTCTTCAAAGTTAAATTTCAGGCCCTAAAGACATTATGGTTTACATAAGACCAACTTCTCTCAAGACTGAATCAGTTCCAGTAGCCTTGGCAAGAGTCACAGGGCACCAGCTCCTTAATCTGTGGATTAACTGGATGTTGAGGTTACCATTTGGAAAAATTAAGCTTCTAATCCTCATAATATGTAAGGAACTGTAAAATTTAATCTAAATATTCAGGAACAAGATGGAAAAGAGTGATAACCTAAGAAATTTCATGAGTTTTATTTTGCTAGGCCTTCTTTTTTAATACCATAATTTTTAAAGCCAATATCATGATTTTGAAGGGATATGACTTGTGAGGTTTGCGAATTTGAGGCTGGAAGTACTCAAATTACTATTCTTGGACAATTTCAAGTTTGGAATATCACATAATATACAGAATACTTCCAATGGATACACAGAATGTCTCAAGCGTTCTTTGTTCTGCTCATTTTTTTCCTATTTTACAGTTTCAGACATACCAGGAGCTTGCTGTCAGGCTAGATCTTCCTCCCCTTGGAGCCAGAGGTAGCAAGCACATTGCCAGACTTCACACACTTCACAAATCCACACTTCATTAATCCCAAACAGTTGCAAAATAACAAAAAACTAAATAAACGCTAGAAAATTCTCTTTTTCTTTCAGGAACAATGAAAAAGAGACAGGTTCTTTGTATCACACTAGCCCCAAATGAAGAATGCCAGCGTAATCTGAGAATAACCTGAAAAGTTTGTTTTGAAGTTTTTCTCCATTATTCTGCCGGTACTATTATGAATTCCTCAGCCTCCTAATCCAGAGGCACACCACAAATGAGTCCTATAAACAGTTTCCTATTTGTGAGCCCGTCATTAATCTCTGAGGACGTTCCAAAGATAGCCCTCAGAGGATTTGGATTTGTCGTCTTCTTTTTCTTTTTAATCCAGTTAGGGAGTATAGCAAACAGTGACACAAACAGGATTACATTTTGAAGGGCCCATGCCTGGTTATGTGAGCGGCACACAGCCGTGCTCAGCTCCGGTTTCCTGCTCTGCAGTTTGCTCTCTTCCCGACTGCTCCTCCTTCTCCTTTCTGACTGATTGTAAAAACATTTGAAAAAACTTACTTATTTTGGAAAAATTGCAGATTAAAAAAAAAAAAAAAGAAGAAGAAAAAGGAGGGAAGCTGTGTGCCATCCTGATTTTTAGCCTCTTCTCTGTCTTTGTTACCACACTTGTGTCCCAGTGCTCTACCAGTTAACCATATGTAGCATTTCCAACACTTCATTCTCCTGCATGATGGGACAGCCTTGTCATCTCCGCTGCTAGCAGGAACAGAGGCAATTCTTCTCCACTCCTGCAGAGTACTTCCAGCATTTCTGTGGTGATGGGTTCCTTAGAGCCAAATTGTCATTAGGACTCTCCCAGGTAACAAGCACTCTTTGAAATAAAAACACAGATTTTTAAACACTGAGGGTAATTTAGACACTGAAGTGAAGTATAAAAGGCACCAGTATATTATCCATCTCAAAATACCTTCAAATCAAGGCAAAGAATTTAAAACAATGAAAGGCTGTTAAAACATCAAGAATTCTGTGTTCTTGGAAGTATTAATTGCATATTGATTATTGCAGCTGGTGTGCTAAAGGGTCCCAATTATTCCATCCATGACCATCTCTCTTCATTATTTGTAACTCCTCCAATTTCTCCCATTACCTGCAAACTTTAACAGAAAATATTTTTGCTTCCCAGCTATTGTCAGGAAAAAATTGTTTAGGACCAGGACCAGTTGATACAGACTTCCATTAGAAACATACCTGGTTTAGAGTGGTTTTTAATGTCACGTTAGATTTTGAGACCTACAAGTAGCCAGTTTCCAATCTGTCCAATGGTGACACACTGATTTTATAGATTCTTACGACTAATATAAGCTATCTAGAATGACTGGCTTTGGTATTTCATATAAGCTGCTATAGTTAGCAAGGGTCCACATTTAAGAAGATACCTGATAATGTATTCTGTCAAAAACATTCATAAGGCAAGCAAGATAAACTTAATAAACCGACATGTTTTTCCGACTAGAGTCCCAGTTCTCAAGTACGTCTTATCTGTGCTATGTTATGGTTGGCATTATAAAAACTAAAATAAATGTCACAGAATGCATTTTATAAGTTTATATATAATTTCTACACCAGGGAATATTGTTTTTGTTGCTCATACACACGCCTCAGATGGTATCTGACATGGTTCAATATGATCTGTAAGTCACAACAACATGGCAATGTAAAGTGAAGTAAAGAAAATTATTGAATAAGCTCTGAAGGTTTCAATAAACGAGATTTAGATTAAATCAAAAAGCCAACATTCAAAACCCCAAAGCCAACAGTTAAAAAATGCTCGTTTTCTCCTTTACGTTATCTAGCTAGCAAAGACGACTGTACTGCGTGTGTTTGTTAAATAATATACCTTTGCAAAGCTGAGGTAAACTTATCTGGCTGTTCTTTAAAACATTTAAGTTGCAATTAGTGTAATGGTCCAGCAGTTACTGTGTCTAGCTGCTCTTCGG